AAAAACGCGAAAAACGCGAAAAACGCGAGTTCTTGATAATCATTTTTCGCGAAACTGATAAGAGATAACGACTTGGTGTCTGTGGCAAAGTTGTAGTACTCGACCTGCTCTACATTTCTGTCGAAGAGGCAAGTCTCTTACTTCTTATCGGCTTCACTAAAACGAGGTGGGAAAATTTCGCGATTTTCGCATTTTTTCGCGTTTTTCGCGGAACTGATAAGAGATAAGCAATATTTGTTGCAACAAAATTATAGCAAACCTCGAGTATTACAACTTTGCTTCAGACACTAATTTGTTATCTCTTATAACAGTCCAGATTTCATATGAAGTATCTTGGGGGCCCTGGAGTCCCCCAAGAACAGTAATATGTTGCAAATATGAAGAACAGTCATAGTGTTAAATAAAAGATTGATTTGATCTTTTCAATCGATCTGAATTATTTTTCAGGTCACAAGAGTGTCGCCGAACTTCTCATCCACAAAGGAGCCAATGTTGATAGTGAAACTAATAGAAAAGAGACACCTCTTCATTTGGCAGCTAGGAATGGTAATTTTGAATACTCTTTTCGAGTACTATGCGCTTTAGTATTGCTTAGCAGCAAGCATTGAATATGCTTTGGCCAATAGACAAGCATATCGCGATGCAATACAGTTGACATCACACACAACTGCCGCGCACACAACTATCGTGCAAACAAACGTCGCATGTGCAGTAGGGTGTTTTCGGCATCGTTCAATCGAAAAATGGTAAGTCTCATTCGATAGATCTCAAAATTCTGAGTCGATTGATAACATTCTTGTCGCGGATGAACTTGTGGTGACACTTCCCGAAACTAAAAACAAAAACAGTTTTATTCTGAATTTCTATAGTAACGTGTGACAACTAGATTCAATTTTATGTTTTCTTGTCAAATTTTTGCGTTCAAATTTCAAATCAAATCTGGTTGTCACAGGTTACTATGGAAACTTAGAATAAAACTGTTTTTGTTTTCAGCTTCAGGATGTATCATCACAAGTCCATCCGCGACAAAAATATTATCAAGCGACTCAGAATTCTGAGATCTATCGAATGAGGCATACCATTTTTTAACTAAACGATGTCGAAAACACCCTAATGTGCAGCCATCGCAACCAACTCACACACAAAACCGACTAGCATACATACACGGGTGTCATAGTTGTGTGTAATGTCTACTAAATGGAAAATTGGTTTAATTTTTTCATCGATCTGAATTATTTTTCAGGTCACAAGAGTGTCGCCGAACTTCTCATCCGCAAAGGAGCCAATGTTGATAGTGAAACTAATGAGAAAGAGACACCTCTTCATTATGCTGCTGCCCATGGTAATTTTGAATACTCTTTTCGAGTACTATGCGCCTTAGTATTGCTTAGCAGCAAGCATTGAATATGCTTCGGCCAATAGACAAGCATATCGCGATGCAATACAGTTGACATCACACACAACTGCCGCGCACACAACTATCGTGCAAACAAACGTCGCATGTGCAGTAGGGTGTTTTCGGTATTAAATAAACAGAAAATGGTAGTTTTAGTTTGATAGAGCAGAGAATTTGGAATCGATTTCATATATTTTTGTTCGGAATCAGTCCAAGATGCCAGTTTCCACAAGCAAAAGGAATGTTCGTCGAATTTTGAGGTTATATCACTATTCGCTGAAACTAATCTGATATTTTCCACTTTTTCGATTTAATCTCACTGCCAAAGATGAATTCTCAATGCAAACATTTATTTTCACGTAATTTTCATTGGAAAAGGTGGCCAAATAGTCGAAATTTCACAAAAATTGTATTTCCCCTTTGACCGGTTCTTCAATCATAGAAAAAACACCGACAAACTCATTTTTTTCACAGAAATTCATTCAATGCGTTTGAAATAGACGATAAATTATCTAAATCCACTAAAATATCCAATCGAACAAAACCAGGAAGGCCAAATTGCAGCAAAACCAAAACGTTAACAAAAACGAGCTGTCATTATGAAATTCGGGCTTAGTTTGATGTTTGACAAGACCAAAATACATCTGCGCGAATTACTGTGTGCGAATTGACTGTGATTCATTCGCACAAGTGCATTGGTAGCCCTTCAAAATGTCAAAGAAGCCCAGATTTCATGATGAGAGCTCGTTTTTGTTTACGTTTTGGTTTTGCTGCAATTTGATCTTCCTGGTTTTGTTCGATTGGATATTTTAGTGGATTTAGATAATTTATCGTCTATTTCGAACCCATTGAATGAATTTTTGTGAAAAAAATCAGTTTGTCGGTGTTTTTTCTATGATTGAAGAACCGGTCAAAGAGGCAATACAATTTTTGTGAATTTTCGACTATTTGGCCACCTTTTCCAATGAAAATTACGTGAAAATAAATGTTTGCATTGAGGATTCATCTTTGGCAGTGAGATTGAATCGAAAAAAGTGGAAAATTTCAGATTAGTTTCAGCGAATAGTGATATAACCTCAAAATTCGACGAACATTTGTTTTGCTTGTGGGAAGTGGCATCTTGGACTGATTCCGAACAAAAATATATGAAATCGATTCCAAATTCTCTGCTCTATCAAACTTAAACTACCATTTTCTGTTTATTTAATACCGAAAACACCCTAATGGTCACAACAAAAGTATGTATGCTAATATGCAGCACAAAACGTAAAACGTAAATACTATGATATCGACCATATTGAATTCAAACACATGCAAACAATTTACATTAGTTATTGAAAACTATATTTCACACATGTTCTCCTTTGCTTTGCGGTGGTTTATTGAATTTCTACTCAATTTTCATTACAATTCTATGGGTGAGATTGAGAGTAGTGTATGTTTGATTGACTTTGTTACGAAAGAGAAGAGCAAGTTTCTGTCGACTTAAAAATGGTCAAAAGCGAGGATGTTCGTTTTTAGCGGGTCCTCGCGGTTTTTCACGGTTTCCGCGGAACTGATAAGAGATAACAACTTGGTGTCTTCGGCAAAGTTGTAGCACTCGAGGTCTTCTATAACATTGCTGAACTCAGTTATCTCTTATCTCTTATCAGTTCCGCGAAAAGCGCGAAAAATGATAAGAAAAAAAAGTTCTATATAAAATTTGCTTTTATATGTGCGCGATTTGCGCGCAACTGATAAGAGATAAGAGATAACTGTCTTCAGCTTAGTTATAGAAGACCTCAAGTACTACAACTTTGCCGAAGACACCATGTTGTTATCTTTTATCAGTTGCGCGAAAACCATGAAGACCGCGGAGGCTAGACGGTACTACAACATACTCTACTTTAACGCCAACAGAATCATCAGAAAACATACTCGCCTTTTCAAAAATATAAACCGAAGAAAAAACATACTCCACTCTCAATCTCACCCATAGAATTATGGCTGACATCAAATTATAAATAACATTAAATTTACAAGAAAGATGCGTACCTCAATAGCTGGATTTGCACTCAATGTGCTATAACAGAAATTCGTGACGATTGTTGCAAGTCGCTTCCAAGTTCTAAATACAGACCCGTGAATGCTTATAAAAATCGATCTTTTAATAAACAGATAGACATACGTCGAGATTGTCGTCTATTTTATTGAAAAGTTTCACCTTTCGATTATTCTTTCGATGTCTATCTAGGTTTGTATTGTTCACTATATTCACGTTCTATTGATTGATATTTTTCTACTATTCCTTATAGAAAAAAAATTGTTTTGGATTTTTCAACGTTTCAAAGATGTAAACAAATTAAAACCAACTCTATCGATTTGCACTGAATGGATTTTTTTAAACTGTATAAAATGACACAGTATACTTGGAAATAGAAATTGTAAACGAAAACAAAAAAACTGAAAGGAAAGCAAAAGGGCCAACTCAGCTAGAGGAAAGCTTCACTTGATCCTATGAAATAATTTTATGTAGATTTTAATAATCGAAATTCTAGTTTAAAATTTATTGTTCAATTTCTACAACATTTAGCTTTTTGTTAGGAAATAGCTACTTTTTTTGAATAGACGCACAAATCGAACAGAAACACATATAACAATGGCGGATACTTCAGTTTCGAATGCCAAAATGGTATAGATTGGGTAGCGTTCACTAATCGAATAAATCGGTTTGGCATTCTAGATTTATAAAAACTTCAACATTGAACACAAAATTGTGTGTTTCGAAATATTTTCTGCAAAATTCGAATATTCCATTGACATGTGAAATGAAGATGTTAATGAGAAGAAAGTAAACGCGAAAATATTTACATGAATATTTACATTGGTCTAAATTCTAGAGGAGCGAAATGTCAAATAGTTCTAAAATGTATACGATTCTTACCATTGATGTGCATGTGCTCGCGGTATGTCAACAATGCTATCAATTGGATTGTTCTAAGAGTCTTTATTTTCAATATTAATTTTACTCTTATATTGATATGATTGCATCGAAACTTTTTCGAAAAATGACACTCACTTATTTGGTGCCTAAATGCAAAAGCATTTCAATAGTGAATAATTGCAATAAATACACAAATTGTACTGGTGTTTTTAATTTTGAATATTCTATACTATATACGGACAAGGCGAAAAATGTATCGCATTTTTTTTTTCGATTACTCATCAGACCAGAAACGTTTCTACACAAATATTGATCGTAAAAACTTAAATTACAAGTTTGAGAAAAGTAGAGAACTGATAACAGAAAAAAGAATGCGAATGCGTGAGCGCAAGGAGATTTTAGTGCAAGGGATTCGTGATAAAAAGTCGAAAGTCCAAGAGAAGGTCCGAGAAATGGGGGAGATTGTAGAGAGGGAGAAGTTACGGGAAAATATACTAACAATCCCAAATTTTTTATGTGTGACTCGTAGTTGTTTAGCTCCATACATTGGATATGTTATTGTTCAAGAACACTATCAATTGGCAATCGGTCTTCTCCTTTTTGCTGGTTTAACGGATTTGGTGAGCCAATAAAAGTCTCTAATCAAAAATTATTTGATTTACAACTCCTTGTTCTATCTTAATTACTTTTACAGTTGGATGGTTTTATTGCACGAAATTGGGTTTCGCAGGCCAGCAAACTTGGATCATTTTTGGATCCAATGGCAGATAAATTACTCGTAGGCTCTTTAGTTATATCTCTCTCTTGCTGCA